ATTGACAGAGTCAGAGCTGTGTATAAACACCACATTTGTTTTCCAGTGCATTGCACTGTCAGGCTCTGAGGAGATATTCGCTGAAATTGTCAAAAATGTATTTGATTAGAATGGCTCCACCTTTAAAATGCTGCTAAATTAGTAAATGTTTTTGTTTTACAATCAAACTTCATTAATTGCAATCAACAATTTATTTTAAGGCTATTCTCAGATTTGAATGTATCATATAATTAAATCTTTATTTGCTTTTTTCTTCAAAGTAACAGCAAACACTGAACAGCACTATTCATCCCAATTGAAAACCAATTAAAAAATAGACTGTTTGGATTTTTTTAACTGTAACATCCCCTTCAGGCCAGTTTATTATTGATTGCATCAGAGTGTGTAGGCCTACTTGAAATGCAAAACCTCAATATCGCAATTTTTATTCGCTTTATAAGCAAAAATATGGTTTTGAATATTATCCGAAAAGTAGCCCCAGGCAGGGGTAAGATCATCCACATGTCCTAATCTATAAAATGTGGTCTTCTACATGGCACTCAAGTCAAACATCTTTCAAGTAAGCTCCCCTTTTATTTCCTTTTTATGGACAAGAAAGCCATTGCTGCCATCTAGCCCAGACCATTGAGCACAGCATATATTGGCTGTACTGCGCGTGGCTTTTCAAAATTACATTGTTTCATGTTGCGCAAAGATTTGTTTAGAGCTTTAATGTAAAGTCTTTCCTTTATGTCTGCGTGCTGCAGCACAAGGCCAAGGAAGGGTTCTCACTTGTTAGCAAGCGCTGCAAGAAGTTTCCAAGCCTCAGACTTCCACCACACAGATTAGAGCCAAACCTGCTGTTTGTAAGGGAGCCTCCAAGGAAAACAAACCTGCCTTTTTAGCCCTATAGAGAGAGAGAGAGAGAGAGAGAGAGAGAGAGAGAGAGAGAGAGAGAGAGAGAGAGAGAGAGCGCAGCAGCATCACGGTTGGAAGAGAATCGAGCAAGCAAACCTGGTTGTGTGTTGTCATTGATTAAATGTAGCCTTCACAGTAAGACATGTCTTGACACATGTTGGAAGAGAGTGGGGTGTTCTCTCCTCTGACGCCCCCTAGCGGTTGATATCTTCATCCCTCTTGTGGAAAACTGCCTTCCTCATGAGTTTCAAGCTGGAGCTTCAGAAACGTTTCTTTTGTTTTGCTCTTCATGCTTAAAGGAAAAATTCCCTCAGTTTGTCCCCGGTCTGTGTAAAGTTATAGTTTCTGTTGCCTAGTTTATATGTGTGGTGGTGTGTTACTTTGCCTTGTGTCCGCTCAGGTTCTGCGTGACTTGGTGCATGTGTGTGTGCACGCCGGCGTTATAGAGAGGGGTCTGGGCAGTGTTCCCGTGTCCATGCACAGCCCCCAGAGTAAAGTAAACACAGCGGCTCTTTTCTCATCCCAGCCGTCAGCAGGCTCTCCCCAGGCCCGCGCCAGAGACCACACACCCAGACCACACACACACACACACACACACACACACACGCACAAACACACATACACATTTACACACACTGCCCAGACCTCTCCGCAGATCCTTCCACATACTCACATACACACAGACCACACAACACCAGCTCGGGCCCCTCGCACGCAACCTAGCTGAGCTGTCATTCTGCCCAGCGTGTATGTATGTATGTATATATGTGTGTTTGTAAGTGTGTCTATGTGGGGGCCAGCTATCTGTGTGTTTGTGCACGTGTATATCCAAGTTGAGAGGAAGGGGGGGTAATCTAAAAACACTCCTGGAATCAGACTTGTACAAAATGAAGATCTTGTCCTCTGGCCCTCTGCCGCTCCCACTCTAAACATGTGGGATTGATGAAGGATACACGCAGCTCTTGTTTTAGTCCTGTTAACCTCTTATCTTCGTCATGTCAGACCTATAGCCCGTCCATTTCCTCTGAAAAGCGCAGGGCAGCAGAAACAACATGAGGTAAATCCCATTGGAGTTTTCTCGTTAACTCTGGGATGTCAGGGTGATGAAGGGTGGCCCCGTGGCAGAAAGGTTTCCCAGGAAAGGTTCCTTCTCTCAGGGGTTTCTAGGTTTATACTTTGACTTTTTATTATTCACTTTTTTTGTTGAAAACTTATCCTAGTGACCCATTTCAAAACATTTCAAAGACACAATAAGGAAAATCTGAAGGAAGTCTGTAGATGTTTGGGTTACAATGATCCAAATATTAGAAAATCGATAAATAACGACCTTGTGGAACCAAAACGCTAACCCTAACCCTAACCCTGGTTGGTAATTATTCAATTTAAGGACAATAATAATCCTCATTATCCAGAGGTTGCGTACCTACTTTTGGCTCCAGAACCACAATTACATTTGTTGTGACCCCTATTCAAAATAAAAGTATATCTTTGCTATTGAACACTTATGAAAGAAGATGTTTTCTTTACTCCACTAAGGCCTACACTAAGAGGCCTTTGTGGAATTGAGAACATATCCAAACCGCAGCTCTGATATAAATGTAGATGCTTCGAAAGGTTTATAAAAATGTTTATTGACATTGTTGAAAAGGTACAAATTAAATTGCATTTTATTATTGAAGGTTAAAGGTGGTATTGTAATGGACTGCATTACATTAAAGGGAAGAAAATATAATTCAGTTTATATTCAGTCCATTGCGACACTGTCACTAACTATGATCCTAATGCTAAAACTAATTCTGGATTAACAACTACTATTAAAAACTGAACATACTGTTAAACAAGATTACAGATTATACCTAAGACTTACAATATGGCAGAATGGGTGTATTAGACTTTGTACATCATAAATTGGCCACTGAATGTAAAGCCCACCATGTTGTCAATTATGTTTATTTGAACTCATCATGTGGCATGAGATAGTTATGGTGTCAGAGAGCTCGGACTTACAAACTTGATTTTATTATCCATTAAGGAATGTCTAGACTAATGAATTAATTATTCAGTCAATAAATTGTCGAAAAATAACAAGTCCAAGATGATGTCTTTTAAATATCTTGTTTGTTCTGAGAAACAACTCAAAATATAAATACAAATATAGATATTTAATATAAAAAAACAAAAAGGAAACGATTGTCCGAATAGGTGCCAATGAATTTACCACAGATTGATTCATTAAATATTTGTTCCCGCTTTTTATAAAAATGATTGTTCACAATTTCTGAGGTTGATGGAACAGACAGAATTCCAGCAAAAAATTTTTTTTTTTTTAATTGATTTTAATTTGAAGTTGACTAACTTAATTTCTACAATTTATCAAACAGTGCTTTTCCAAGGTTTGCCTTTCTGATTTTCCTGTTTCTTTTCTGACTGCTGGCTTTACCAAACCATTGGAAGACGGCCTCAGAGAGATTGAGGTTAACATTTTCCGCCTACACCCAGTGTCTGGTGACCATATAACTTTACTAAATATTCCCGCCTTCCCTGGTTCGGACCTTTTGAATTCTGTGCCAAATTGAAATGGACTCTTACAACTGGACAATTGTGTCTGATACTAGGCCAGTTACCACCATGAACGTGCTGCAGGTCCAGTCCGTGTGAACTCCTGCATTGTTTGTGGAGAGCGTGTTTTGGCTGTGAAGCAAAAGGGCGGAAGCCTCTCTCAAGCAGCTTCAGAGAGTCCAGATCGGTCAGCCTCTCTCAGACCTGGCAGTCATTTATTAACAAACATCTGTGCTGCTGAAATACATCCTTTCATTTTTGCATTCGGACTCTTTCCCTCCCCTTCATTTGATCAGCCCCAACATGAACTGATTTCCATGGGTGCTCCTTCGCTGGTACCATAATCTGCTCTGCATTGTGTGGGCTCATGTGGAATGATTGGAGAGGCCAGGTTTATTTATCCTTCGCTGCGAGGTTTACATTCTTCCTTTCCTCCCTGCTCTCGGTCTGCTCCTTCGCTCTTGGCTCCCTTCTCTATTTTTCCTATTATCTGAGAGATAACTGCTGCAATGCATACATTGTTTGGAGACCTACAGGGCGGGAAATTAACACGAGCTGCCAGCCAAATTTGCTCCAATTTTGCTGTCCCCAGTCAGTTCTAAAAACCTTAATATCTGGCTGTCTGTTGATTTAGTTAAAAAAAATGTTTTACCATATTTATTATCTCTACGGGGTCGTGGTTCTATTCTTCTTATATCCCATTTTTTAAGATGTGGTGGTATAGCACAATATCGTCAACTTTTTTTGTGTCACGGTTTGACAATGCTATTATCCTTTATTGGTTTATCCACAGAAGTTATTTCCGCTTCTGGAGTTATCATTAGTGATTATTTTCAGTGCCTTGATTTTTATTGTATGTCAGTCTGCAACATGCAAACGTTTTCTTTTATAAATATCTAATTATTTTTTACTGATTATTAAAAACTTGAATTACATTTTTTAATAGACTTACATTGATACTCTGATTATTGTGTTATAAATGTTTTCATTATTAGATGTTCATATAGTAAGTGAAATATCAGTGTGTTTGTTGAGTTTTAGGTTACTCTACATGGAAGGAAATGTCACCTGAGAATTAAATAATGTTCTTTCAACTGTTCTAAAACAGAGAGGATCAGAATACTTTATTCATCCTGGGGAAAAATCTAGAATGAAAAGAAAGAAGAAAGCATACAATATTTATTAAAACATAAGAAGTTGGAGTAAGAATGTGCAATAACAAGATACAAATAAAATAAAGAAATGTATACAAAAATAGGAAGTTAAAGTAAAATGTCTTATAATATACAAAATAAAATAGGATTACAATATTTATATAAACATAAGAATTTAAAGTAAAAATATGAGAATGGAACGTCAATATATAACATGTATTTTAAAATATAAACAGTGGTATATTAGTATGTACAAGATATTAATGCAGAATTGTACAGTTTAAGGGATTATTGTTTCTTTGGGATTACTGTTTTTCAAGCAGAAATCCTCAGAAACAACTTAATAATGTAGTCCTCTAATGCATGCTCCCTTCTCCTCTCTGTTTCCAGGTCCAGGAGCTGATCGTCTGCCTCAGGCCACCATGTCTCGCACCCGCCAGCCCCCGCTGGTCACGGGCATCTCGCCCAAGGAGGGTGCGGCTTGGACCAAAGTCACCATCCGTGGAGAGAACCTGGGCACGGGCCCACCCGACCTCATCGGTAACACTTTTATAACCGCACACAGCACAGCCTTGGTTAAATGTATTAGTTTATTTAATTCCTTTAAGTTCAATTATCTTCAGTAATATTCATGAAAACAAATTTGTTTCATACTTCTTTGTATTTCTAATTAGGTATGTATGTATTAACAAGTCAAGATAAATATACAGTATATAGATGTTATTTCGATCGGCCCATATAATACGTGAACAATGTGGAATTAAAAATTATTAGTTTTATCGCATATGACAAATCTTAGGTGATGATTTTTATCGTTTCTATTTCTCTGTGGTTGCTTTGTTATAAAAGAGGGACACTGATGTTGAGTGAATATAGCAGCGTTATTTTTGTCATTGAATTTCTGCTGTGGTGCGTGGAGTATTTTGTAACTTAAGTCGTATTAACTGGTTTTATTAACGAACCCATCAACAAACCACAGCAGGCCCCTTTTTTTAAACAGGCTGGTGTAACGTTTATTTTTGTTTATATGATACGTAAGTGGAAAGTACGCCTGATTCTTATCCTCCACTGGTCCATTTAGATTTTCTTTTCTTAACAATTTAATAAGTTCAGTAAAAAATACTGCCTAAAATTAAGTAAGTTAAAAGTCAAGCATTTTCGTAGAGAATAATAGTTTTGTATTTTACACCTATAGATACGTAGCAATAAATCATTTCATTTAAACTGGCTGTTTACATTTTTTAAAAGTATTTTCTGGAGGCAGTTCGGTTCTCCTGAAAAGTTACTTAAGATTCAGTTCACACAAAGCAAAAGTTGTAAAATCTTTTAAATGTATTTTGTTATGCAACAGTAATTTGAGATACATCATCTGTACTTGAGATTCTTTTATTCTACTTGTAAATAATCAATTCAAAGATAAAATCTTCCAGCACTTTACGAAGACAAAATAAACTCAACCAAAACTCCTTCAGACCAACAACATAAAATAATAAGATATTATCCTGTTATGTAATTCAAAAGTGCTTCTTCTGTGACAGTTTTGCCAACTCTGTGTGCAACAAACAGCATTCTTGTTTCTGTAAATATTTAGATACTGTATGCCTAGTTTGAGAAACTCAAGAAGTAAAGATGTTGTTAGTTTGTCTTTTTTAAGAGCCACACAGATGGACTATCTCCATCTTCTTCTGATTATGTGTTTGAACGTCACACTTTTCCCATGCCGATATTTCCCCTCATGTGCGCCAATTCCTCCTCTACTTTACTTCTTTGGTTTGAGTGGAGGTGGGGGGGCAGTGCAGAGGACTCACACACCACTCCATGCTTGGAAAGCCTCGCTCTGGCCAGCGATACAGGGCTATTTCTGACTGTGAGTGTCCCCGGGGCCTGGAATTCGACAATTAGATATGCACAAATGTGTGTGAGTGCTTATGTGTTCAAACAAAGTGGCCAGTAGAGAACAGAGGCAGGAAATGGGGCCCTAATTGGCATATTATTCACGCTTTTATGGGCTATTTCTCAATCAGCTTTCATCGTGTTCTGAAGTGACGCTTTTTGAATCCCCTCCGCTGGAACCGTAATCCTGTGTCTCTCTTCTAGTGTCCAAATAGTTTTCAAGAGGGTTTTAAAAAGAGCACGACAGATGTGAGGGGCAGAGTGCAGATTGTGCCAGTAATGGGCCACTTAGCGCTGAAGTGACACACGTTAGCTTAAAGCAGCTGAGTGAGAGGAAGGAAGGTCACGGCCACCCACACCCACCCTGACCCCAACTTGAGCTTTGACCCCCTGGTGACAGTTTGACTAAACTCGCTGATAGACGCCAATTCTCTCTGAGTGAGCTCCTCTTGTTTCAGATAGTCTGTGTGTGTGTCGGTGCTACACAGTGTTTATGTGTGCTGTCACACTGTGGCTGTATCTCTCACCCTTTTCACCTTTTCCCCCTCCGCTCTTCCCTCTCAGGTCTGTCGATCTGCGGCCATAACTGCCTGCTGACAGCAGAGTGGATGTCTGCCAGCAAGATAGTGTGCCGCGTGGGGCCTGCCAAAGACGACAAGGGGGAGATCATCGTCACCACCAAGTCCGGGGGTCTCGGCACCTCCACTGTCTCTTTTAAACTGCTCAGGCCAGAGAGGATTGGTAAGACATTTCATTCGCCAGCCTGGACAGTAAAGCAGATAGAAGTTGCAACTACGGCTGCAGCTAAAGAATATTTGTCTTAACTCTTTAGTGCATAAAATACCAAAAGGCTAATGGGAAGTACATGTCAAAAGGTCCTAGAACTCAAGGTGACATATTCACTATCCCCCCTATCTAACAGTTCAAAACAGAAAAAGGCAAGCAATTATATTGTAACATTTTTCAATTATGGAAGGCTGAAACCAGGGCTTTGTTTGATTATCATAGGAAACATATATTAATATATTACCAAAGAAGCAACTAATAAACAAATAAATAATCTCTCTTTTAAATGACAAGCCAACATTGCAGAACCCATAGGAAAGCAACAGATGAGGGATAGTACAGTGGGCTCCATTCTGATACAAATGTCTTTCAAATAGACAAAACACAAACATATAAATAAAGTGTTCACCACCATCGCACAGATACATTACAAGAAAATGTACAGAATACAATTCTACAAATAAATGTAATTCATGCAAATAGAAAAATGATTTCACGTTAATCTAAACTCCTCTACTCAAACATGGGTTAACAATGTTTATTTAGGTTTTAACAATCTAATTCCAATACATCTGACTGCACAGATTATTAGCCACTCATGACTTGTGTGCAACATAGAAAATGTATGTGTCTGTCTATGACTTGATGCACGTCTGTGCATACTTTTTTTTAACCCTGCATCTATGTAAATAAATGGGTGAACATGCACGATATTTATCAGGGCTGTCAGATATTGGCAGATTATTGGAAATGTAGTGTATATCATTCTTTATTATTCTCATAAGGAAATTATAGCCAATACGTTGACCATTATAACAAAGCCGGATTGCTTTCATTGAAAGGACAAGTTCAGCTTCTACACACTCACACGGTAGAGGAAAAAACAACACAATTGTGATTTTCCAAGTGTTTTGATGTATTCTCTTCCAAAAACTAAATGAACATTTAAACTCAGAACCTAACTAAAAGCCTGTCCTATTCTATTCTGTTCATCCCAAGTGAACGTGTTTCTCAAATAGCTTGTTTAATTCTTTTAGAGTTTTACTAAATGCAACGTGTGTATTCAATGTGACATTCCACTTGTGTTTCGATTACTTGAAATGCATGTAGTTTCTAACGTGTGTCGAGCTATTTCAGAGACCATAGATCTCTTTTCTATGGTTCGTAGGTTGTGGTCTTTACCACAACCTACTAACATGTTAGAAAAAATACTTTGCAGTTTACATTTGATTTGAGGTTTTCTGTATATTTTACGTTGTGTACTAAAAATACACTGCGTCTTTAGATATCTTTCTACTGTTTATGTATATATTTACTTTTTATTTTATTATATTTTTAAACATGCTGCTGTTACAAAACCATTTCCAAATTTGGGATGAATAAAGTATGCTGTATATAATCGTATCTATTCTAATCTTATGTAATTGGACATACTGTATATGTGCATAGGAAAGAAGACATAATTTCATTTTGATATTTAGAAACATAGCTAAAACAAAAATAAAATAAAAAGTGTGTGTAATATATTCTCATGCATTAATCTGCATGTTCTAGTGAGTGTAGATTTGGGTGTGTGTGAGGGCACATCTGGGATGCGTTGTTAAACCCATTGACGTGTGACACGCCTCTCGTGTCCCGCAGGTATCCTGGACCAGTCTGCTGTGTGGGTGGAAGAGATGAACTACTACGACATGAGGACCGACCGCAACAAAGGCATCTCCCCCCTCTCCCTGAGACCCAGCAATCCACTGGGCATCGACATAGACAAGTACGGACACACACGAACGCACGCACACAAAAATGCCTCGGCACAATCACACCGCCATAAACACACGCGCTCTAGTCATCGAGTCATGGTTTACATCCCTAAACAGAAACAAACTCTCCCCATATGCGGCCGTTTGAAATATTATGCCAACACAGCAAAGATTGAACCGCTGCTCACAGGGAGTGGAAACAGAATAATTGTGTATAAAGCAGAGAGGACGGCGGACGATAGAAAGGGATTTGGAAAGAACTAAGGCAGCGACCCGCACACATGTTTGTATGCGGCCGGGCAGCAGGCAGCGCGGGGCGGCCTCCCACGCGCCTGGCAGGGAGAGAACAAGTTGTAATATATAGTTTGTGTAGTCAGGTTCTGGCATTTCTGTGTTAGTGTTTGTTTGGCTAAGAGGGGCCGGGGGCAAGTGACCGCTCGTGGCCAGAGACGAGACCCCCATAAACAGGCCGGACCACTCACTCGTCTCTCTGGGTTGCATCCAGGATAAAACGTCATCGTAATTCTTTCTGACAGTAATGTGTTGATCTGATACGAATGAACTTTAGGATTAAATACTACTTAAAACATCTAATCGTAGAAGCTGTTTATAAGTAGAAGAGCATCACTCGTATGCGCATCTTTGCACAGTGATGTCACTGCTGAGCTGTAGATGTTTGCACCAGCTGTTTGTAGCGTCATACTTGGCCTAAATATAACGTCTGTCCGTGGAGTTTATTTGTTACTAAATATTTCCACATGCTTAACTATGAAACGATGGCAATAATGACACACAATAAGGTCTGCTAGGTAGCGTAAGTGGAGTCTTCTCTCCCTCTGACCTCTGATGTGACACTTATTCCCAAGAATTGCGATAAAACCTAGTTTTATTTTTTAATCTTTCATTTAGGCTTCGGAAATATATGTGAGATACACTGTTATTGCACCCACATTACACCCATGTTACACCCATACTAGACCCTTATTATACCCATGTAACACCATTACTACACCCATATTAAACCTTAATTACACTTTTATTGCATCCAAATAACACTATTATGACACCCACATAACACATTAATTCACCCCTATTTCATTCTTGTTACACCATCATTACACCCGCATTACACCCATATCATACCCGTGTTACACTGTTATTTCACCCATACTACACTGTTGTTAGACCAATATTACACCCATGTCACATCAATGTTTTACCCATATTACACTGTAATTACGCTGCTATTGCGCCAATTTTACACATGGCAGTGTTTCCCCTAGGATGGAGTCATAGCAGCGGTGCTAAGGCACGTGGGCCCAGCATAATGTGAGCGTGGAGCGCTTGAATATTTTTGAGTGTGTGCACGTGCAAAATGTGCCCCGCCAATTTGTTTCTATGTGTCTGCCAGCACAAGAAAGGCTCTTGAGGCCTAGTACCATGGCCGGTTCTAGCCAATTTGCTGCCCTAGACGTTATTTTATATATAAAGATTAAATGAAAAATCTCTACAAAAGACAATACACTACAAAAACAGAAACTTAATCACATAGGTAATAGACGTCAAAATTGCTTCAAATGTATTCAGTATTTTATGAACATGTTTGAATTGGGGGGTGGACGTCACATCCTCTAGGGGGGTCCGGGGGTATTCCCCCCCCGGGAAGATTTCTTTGAACATTTTAAGTAAAATGGTGCACTTTGAGCAGAATTACTAGACACCTGATCTAGGGGGTACAACTCTAAAGCACCCATACGAAAAAAATCGGTTTACATTTTAATAATCAAATAAGTATGTGAACATAACCAATAACCTACCATAGCCAATAACAAATAAATGTAACTTATTTTATTTTTTTGTTCATTCATATCTTATTTTACCTAATTAACATTTATTTATTAAATGCATATTTTTGTATCTCTCCAACTTTAAACGATATTTTTGGTTTACTGTCCTATAGTATACATTGGAATGATTTCAAACCTGTTTTTATTTATCCTAATAATTATAAAGGAGTGCCTTGGAAATATGTGTTTACATAATTTGTGGTCAAAACGTTTGAGACCCACTGAGATAACTTAGACTAAAATTAACTATCTA